TAAAAGACTGAGGTATAGACACTTTGAAGAGGTCCCCTAAAGTACTGTCTGGTTCCAGGGCCCATTGCTGCAATGTCCTGATCTCAGGAGCTGCCTGAGTAATTTATCCTTCATTAGTTGTTCCTCCACTGAATCGGGAGATAGAGCTGTGCTTTACCAAGAACCTTTCTAGCTTTTCCAAGAAGGCAGTGAGATTTTTATTAAACTGGTCTGTCATGGTCTATCTACTTCGTTAAATTCCTGGTCTATCTAAAATCAAGGCTTGGTCCTAATTCTACATAAGCCCACCAGTATGCACAGCTGAAAATGTCTCCTCTTCCAGTCTCCCATCTCATTGGTATCCCATCCAGGGTCATTTGCTGGTACCGCTCTTCTTCCAGTTAGATAAAGTTTGCCCCCCCCACTCCCTGATGCTATATGATACAAAGCTCATCCCCAGCTTTTTCTGCCACTTGCAGAGCAGCTTGTTTCTCAGTCCACCAGGGTTTGATTTCAAATTAACATTTTTTTTTTTCAGGAGAGCTTAAATATTTGGGTTAAATTCTAAAAAGACTTTCATATGTAATATACATAATATGCATATATATAATATCAGGGTTATCTGAAAACTTGCCAAGATCCCCTTAATTTGCTTTAAGTTCTGTAGAAAGAAGAGAACCTGGACCTTACTGGGGCCAAATTCACCAGGCATCTGTTGGAGGGGCAAGAGTGAGACTGGAGCTTATCTAATCTGATTATTTCTAGGAGGCGGCAGGAGAAACTAAAGCTGGATAGGGAGGTTGACATGAACCTGGAGAAGCAGGGCTGGAGGGAGCTGGCTTCTCTGCTAGGAATGCCTCTGGAATTTTTTCAGTTGCCTGGGATTGCTGCTTGCATCCTTTCCTGATATGGCAAACGGGAGGGCTGCATTAACCCTGCACTGTTGGCAAAGCTCTGGATTGCTCTGAAATGTATAGAAAGGCTGTACATATGGGGCCTCAGACCACCTGTTCTCATGCCTATATAAAAAGGTCCAATAGTATTAAAATAAATGACTCCTGAGCCCAAGCCAGTCCTTTATACTTTGGCCAAACCTATGTGCAGAGGGCTATGAGGCATTTTTCCTTCACATATTGAGGGTTAAAGCAGACCCAGTGGTTCAGGATACACTCCAGAGGAGTATAAGCTGAGGGTGATGAAGAGAGCTGGTTGCCCATTCAGAGAAAGGAAAATAGAGGCATAGCTCATTTCCCTCTTTCACCAAAAACTTGTGTGAGGATGAAAGAAAGGCATTCCCTCTTATTTTTTTGTTGTTCCCAAGTCCCAGTGACCCTAGACAGATGGCGGCCATTTCAATTTGCACCCATGAAGCAGGGGCACCTGGAGAGCAGGAATTAGCCACCCTTACCTGTGTCTGTATTTTCCCTGCTGTCGGCAACCTTTGAATTTCCTGGGCTTTATCCATGCCATGGAGCACAGCCTCCTTCCCTGAAGCAGGGCTTTAGTCAGCAGTTCTGCCTGTTTACATGGTGCCTGTCACCTAGCTTTAGATTCCTCAGATCTGGTTTTCCTTTCTAGGGCCTCAGCCTGAAGCCTGGAATTGAGTTAAGGACAAAAATATTTCAGGGTCTGCATTTATCTGTTGAAGACTCAAATGGGCCTTGCAAAATTTGCAATTACTAGCCAGCAGGGGTCACTCCACTTTTTCTAGCATAAGCAAGAGTGCTGGGGAAAGGAGCCCTCTTTTTAGAGAAGGGGAAAAAAAGAAAATGGGGAAGGGAAAAAACACAGCTTAGGGGCAAAAGGGGGAGGTGTGGGGGAAGAACCTCCATGCAGGGCCCCAGCAGCAGCTGCAGTTTTCTCCCACCCTTTGTGGGCATTGGATGTGGCTTGTGCATGCTGCAGGACACATGAAGGCACTTGAGCTGGGAGGGAAGGCACCATGTACCACCTGCACCTGCAGCTGTTGGGATGGGGCTCAGGATGGCACTTCTAAGAACAGACCACATGGTTCTGAACTACACCTTTGGCTGAGCCAAATGCCATCACTGCTGCAGTTGTAGCAAAACTGTTAACATTATGAAAAGAGATAGAAGCCATTTCAAACTGTGAAAGAAGAGATATCATAACAAAGTCTGGGGGTCCTGGCCAATGGAATTCAGTCTTGGAGTCTTCCAGCAAAAGATGCCTTTGCTTGCCCCAAAGGTTTACTCCAGTCCCATGTGACAGCCAGACCTCTGTGAAGGGCAACGGAGCCAGTATCCCTATTGATTACCAGAAAGAGTTGGCAGGGTTATGGAAAAGACAGATCTGACAGTTCTGTTTTAACTTTTTTTTTTATCCCAGACAAGCCCCCAGATGAGAGTTCCCTGACCCCCATTGCAGGACATGAGACAAGGCTGTTGCTCATCTGTTTGGATGCTGTGTGTGTTCAAACCCCTTATGGGAGAGAAAGCACACAGGACGACAGGAATCGGGCAAGCACCCCTTGGCTCCAGCCCTACAGCAGTGTCTGAGGCGGGAGCCTGTGACTTCTGAAGCCCAAGTGAGCATGTGTTAGTGTGCTCAGTGGGATGTGTGGGGAGCTAGAAAGGGGATGGAATGTGAACACAATCTTCCCCTGGAGTCTGGCCACCCAGTGGCCGATCTCCTCTGTGACCACCTCCAGCCAAACTCCTCTTGGTGTTCAGATGCTGCTTCTCTTCTCGCTGCTGTGCTGTTGTGCTGTTGTGCTGTTGTGCCATTCTTCTGCTCTTCTGTTCATCTCCTCACCTGCTTGTGGGGTCTGGGGTTTATAAGGCTACAGGATAGAGGCGGTATGGCAGGCCAAAAGGCAACTTTTGATGCAAAATAGGAATGCCGGTTACCACCTAGGGCTGTGGGTTTCCAGGCTTGAGGGTGGGCCTTTGCTAAGGAACATTTGTTAATTAACTCTAAAAACAATTCTATTGTACAGTTACTTCCGTCTTTATCCAGCCCTGCCTGTTCTCAGCAAGAATATGCTGTCTTTAACTCTACGTACCCTGGCAGCCAGAAGAGGTGAGAGCAGCTCCTGAGGGAGTCCCTGTTGCTGCAAAGTGTTACCTTTTACTAGAGAAAAGTGGGTCACCTCTGAAAGCCCAAAGCATTTAGGGTATCTACAGTTTCAATATCCTCAAGGGCATCCCTTCCCGTGCCGTGTTTCAGTGTCTCAGGTTTTCCTAAATATGGCCCTGACTTTAGAATAACACTTTCCTGAGCTCTCAAACATTTGTGTGCTTGTAACAATTGTCTTTAGTCTGCTTCTCAGCTGTGCATCATTGCAGGGGACTTTCTCTGTTTGCTTAGGAGACCCTTAAGTTCTCATGCCTTATCCATTAATTGTTTAATAGCTCTCAACTTCATTATTCTGCAGGGGCACCAGTGTAACTTAGAAGAAACCAATAAACTCTACAATCTTAGGCCTAATCTCATCTTAGTATTTTACTGAAGAATATGCTTGTGAAGGAGAATCAGGGAGGGAGCTGGAGGAGGTTGGGAGAACTAATGGTAAATGCCAGCCTGACTTCTGTGAAGGATTGAGGGAGGCTAAGGAAGTATCGCTAAACTTTTAGAAGTTCCATATGAGAGTCTTGGAGTCAGTTTCCTGTCAGAAGTGTGCAGTCCTAGGTGGGCCTATTCTAGGTCCCTATCATGCTAGATCACTGGGAACAGCTTCTGGGAAATGTGGCCTCAGTAGAAGCATGGTGATAGTTTAGATGGCAGCAGTTGAAGCTGTCAGTCAACTGCATTCACTGTAGAAGATATGGAAGATACTCTTAAAGGTTGCCACAGTAATTTTCATGGCTTCTTGTATGTTTCATAAGTTATTTAACTTTACGTTTAGGTGACAAACATAATGTCCTTTGGCTACATTTAGATTTCACAACTTCTGTATGACAATATACAAAAGCTAGAATTACAGGAACATGGTATTCTACAATCTGACACAGACTGCATAACTTTTGGAGAATGAAGGCATGATTCACATGATAGGCTGAATTTCTTGAAGTTCCATAAATTGGGTTCCAACTTATGTCTACTTCCTTCCTGTATACTTTCCTCCAGGAAAAAAAAAAATGTGCTGTGGGAGAACAGCGAGATATCTCAGTTTAACCTTACTAGATGACATTTTTAAATCACATCAGAGGTCATTCTGGGTCACTGCTTTGCCCTTTCATCCCTGCTCCGTAGCCAGCTTGTGAGCACATACTTGGCACTGATTCCAAAAGTCTTCCTCTGATTCCCAACCATGGTGGGATAGGTAAAGCAGAAGATGCATCTTATGATTGTTTCCCCAATCATAGGAGAACACTCATTCTCTAAACTCAGATGAAAGCTTAAGGAAAGCTACTTATTACGGTGTGAGAGGATGGAACTTAGAGATGCGTGTAATTGGATCCCTAAATGATCACACATTCCAGATACCTCAGTAGTGGAGTGGTTTCCATTCTTTCGACTAGCCAAAGAGAAACTAGAAAGCAGTTTCTACGGTTTCATGCAGAACTTTCCCTTGCGCCTGACTACTCCTTTCTGTCATGCCCAATTACATGATTTGGTGTACCTAAAGCCTAGTGTATTCAAAATTATCCTGACTGTATGGAGTTGTAAATCTAAGTCTGTTCACTAATGTTACATTTTGTCCTTCCTTTGGAAACAGCAGTGTAAAGGAAGACTTCTTTTGGATCTGGCTTTAGAAATAGTGTAGCTAATGTCTGCTGGGTTGGGAACTTTAAGCACATGACAACTCGGACCTCCAGGAAATTTTCAGCACCTTACCTCAGTTAAGGAAAATGCAGATCAGAGGCTGGAAGCTTCTGAGCTTTAAAAACAAACTTGGCTGAATCCCTGGTTTCATTGTTGTTCACTGAGTGACCTTGGGCAATTATATCACTTCCGGGAACTCAATTGCTTCATTTGCAAAATGGAGTAATTCTTAGTGTGGAAGTGTGTTGCATTGAACTTAGCACAGAAAGTCAACACCAGAACAAAAGTATGCCAAATTGCAGGTTTATTGCCGGCAACTACGGAGGACTCACGTCTCTCCAACCCGTGGCCCCGTAAAAGAGGGTGACAAGACCTTTTATACCCGTAAAATCGCCTCGGGGGTGAGGGGAGAGGATGGGGTGAGGGGCTTCAGACATTCCGAGGGCCAGTGGATTCAAATCAGCTTCTGGGCGGAGATGAGGGTGAGGGGGTTCCGGACATTTCGAGGGCCAGAGGACTATTCTGATTGTCATTTAAGGAGTTCACAAATGCTAAGATTAGCATTCGTTTACACATCGTCTGGGTAGGGGTGGGATCCATAGATTTTCAGTTGCTTGGCGCCAGGATGGAATGATCTTGGGGTGCCTACTCTGGGAAACAAAGGCCAGCAATTCTGATAGATAAAAGGAGGTATGCAGCTTTACCTCTCTTTGCATCCTGCAAATGATCTAGCAATTTACAAAAGCCAAGGTTAGCAGTCATTGTGAGAATGGAAACAGCACTGTTCTTTAAAAAATGGCATTATACAGGTTCTAATTCTAGGCCAGCTATATCACATTCCCCCCTGTTCTTATAATCATGTATTAAATCTTTAATAGGTGTCCTCTTCTTGACACAGGGGCCCATAGTTAGATCTTAGAACCATTAATTTTACCGAATCTATTCTTTCTTGGATAAACTTGCGGAGCATGTTTAAAAGGCATGGTCCAAATGTCAACCCTAGGACCACTAACATTAAAGGACTTGCTAAGCCAGTGAGCAAGGATGTCAGCCAGGGGGACCAAGAGAACAGTTTTTGGTACTAATTTCCTGAGGCCTCTCTGAGGTGTTTCCTTGTTTCTAAGTTTTTCCTAACCATAGTAACTAAACACTTTATTCACATTAACTGCACTCTAGTTATTGCGTTAACACTTAATCAGAAGGATGAAGTCAGTGTCTTTATAAATTGTGTAACTCACAATTTATGCCAATTCATTTTAAGGATGTAGCACTCTCCGCAGGAATCCTACAGATGGACCAGGGTTTGGGGAGTGTTTCTGTGGAAAGGGAAGGCTTATTTCCACAGAGCCCTCATGTCTCGAGCCTGCAGAGAATACAACAAAGGCAATGTTGAGACATGGTAATTTTGTCTCATTTTCCTTCATTGACCTGACAAATTTTGGGGGGCCACATTCTTTCATAAGTATTCCCAAATCTTCTGGGCTTACAAGTAAGTCTTCTAGAACACATTACCAGCAGTTTGAACAGCATCTCAATCACTAGAGGCTAAACTCGGGAAGTATCTTGTAACTAAGGAAACATCGATTAAATGATTTAGTTTTTAGAATTTACCTCTTAAAAGATATACAGGAAACAAAGAGTAGAAAGTATTAATATATAACTTAACAATGTATTACAAACTCCAGTCAAAACATGGAGCAAGGCAGCTTAAGTAACTGTATGCAGTTAATAGAGCAAGGTGTTCTGTCCTATTTCCTCATAAAACATAAACAATAATACTTCATGTCAGGATATTTCCAGGAGTTACATGACCCAATGCTAAATGTTAGCAGTTTGTCATCGTTACTGTTGGTTTACCTTCTTTGCAGCTCAAGTATCTTTTAGTCATAAGTCTTATATTTTCCACCTTTAGGACTTAGAGTTGTATACTTTCTTAGTATTCCTTTGGAACTACAAAAGTTGGAGACCACAGGGCCTAATATCTCAAACTGCTCGTGAAGTTCCCAACAGGAAGCAGCCTACCATATTTAAACACCTTCTCCATGAGCTTAGTTGAGAAGAAAATAGCAATCAGCTAATCTTCTTTTCTATCCTCAGGATTTGGAGAAGCCTCTCTCGGATCTGCTTGGTGCGAACAGCATAGACAATGGGATTGAGGATTGGAGGAACGAGGAGATAGAAGTTGGCCAGCAGTGTGTGAACTGGCGGAGGCACAGAGCGACCAAATCGATGAATCAGGGAAGAAACGGCAATGGGAACATAAAAGATCAGGATGGCACAGATGTGTGAACCGCATGTCCCCAGGGTTTTAAGCCTGGCCTCAGGAGTGGCTAGCCCCATCACGGCCCTGAAAATCATCACATAGGAGGCAGCAATAGCCATGGAGTCCAGGATCAACACCAAAAAGCCAATGCTTAGCCCATAGATATTATTGATCCTGCTGTCGCCACACGTCAAAGCAACTACAGCCATGTGCTCACAGTAGGAGTGGGAGATAACATGGCCTTTATAAAGGGGCAGTCGCAGGCGGATCATCAGAGGCAGAGGTCCAATGTAGAGAACCCCCCGGAGGAGGGAAACCAACCCCAAACGACCCACCACTGTATGAGTGAGCACCATGCTATAACGTAGTGGGTTGCAGATGGCCATGTAACGATCAAAAGCCATGGCAAGGACGATGCCCGATTCAACAGTGGCAAAGCAGTGAATAAGGAACATTTGGCCCAAGCAGGCATCCAGGCCGATGTCACCAGCACCAAACCAGAAGATTCCCAGAAGTTTGGGCATAGTGGAAGTAGACAGAACCAGGTCAATGGCAGCCAACATGCACAGGAAAAAGTACATGGGCTGGTGCAGGCTACGCTCTACCCTTACCACAGCCAAGATGGTCACATTCCCCACCACAGCCACAAGGTACATGGAGCCAAAGGGGATGGAGAGCCAGATGTGCAGGGACTCCAGCCCTGGGATGCCTGTGAGCTGGAAGGAGCTGGGTACCGAGCAGACATTATGAAAATAGATCATGGCTATTTGTATGTGAACCTTCTCACTTGTACCACTAAATGCAGCAGGGTGTTTTTCCTGGAAACAAAAGACAATATTTTACTCTAAGACCATATAATAGGGAATAGGATCACTGTCTAGATGTTAGATAATAAGTCATCCTTAGAAGAAATTGTAGAATGTCAGTGTCACATCATACTAAAATATTCAGTCTTACCAAGCACAAGCCAAAACACTCACTTGAATGAAATCGATCTCTTTGCAGTATGACCTTCAAGGTGTTGATATTCTTGCATCACTGAATGAATTGACCTAAAGCAAATATCTATTTGGTCATTTACCACTGCATGTAGGCTATGAGATGACTCTTGAGATAATATTGGAAGGCTTTAGAGTATAGAGTTCCTTGAAAGAAAAGGAGATGCGTTGAAGTGTCAGAGGGTCAGACTCCTGGAACTACCTAGGCTCTATGGTAAATGAAAGCTTAAGCCTGGGACCAAAATTGACTACTGGATGAGCTGAAGTGCCTAATTTGTAGGCCAGCGTCACAAAGCAGCGACTTGGGATGGTAAAAATGGGACCTCCAGAGGGTGGAAACAGTGATTTCTGAAAGATAAAAGCTAATCAAAGCTCACTTTATGCATATTTGATGCCCAAAGGCAAAGCCTGGCAAGAGCCTCCTCCCTTTCTGAAGGCTGAATATGGAGATAAGACTCCAGAAACAGGGTTATCAGCAGGGAGGAAGAAGATACTCAGTGCAGAGTGGCATGAAGGCTAGGAAACAAACATTTGGTGATGAAACATCTTTACGTGGAGTCCAGAGAATGTCACTAAAAAGATACCAATTTAAAGAAAATACATGAAAACAATTTGTGTTATCTCTGATTTGGGTGTTTTTCTTTGTCTGAAAGATCATACCAGAATGTGTTCCTTATAGATCAGAGGAGTGTGAAAGGAAGTGAGGAGCTTGTGAGAAGTTTAATACTCTGCATCTTGAGCCTAGTTATGGTGACTGCAGTAGAATAGTCAGTCGTCTGGGCATAGGACCTTTCTAGATCTGTCTTCAAATCTTGGTATTGGGAGCTTAGGTGAACTGCTTTATCCCGTTAGTGAAATACGGCTAACCTCAATTTGCAAGAGACTTAAGGCTGTGGCCTAGAGAAGTTGTCATGTCTAAATGAAAATGCAGGGTCTGACAGTAACACTAAGCATTAGCTCTTTATTCTGTTAAGACTAACATGCAAAGCCAAAAATGTTCAAACATCAAAGGACTCTAGAATGTCTATCTCCAGGTAGCTGTAGTGCTCGGGAGGATGACTGCTGTAAGCCTGTTGATGTTATTCTATAAAATTTCTCTCCTTTAAGCTGGGCTCACCTTAAGATTCTCAAAGATTACAAGTGGACATAGTGTTTTCAGTAACTGAAGAGGGAAGATAAAAAAGCTGAGTCATGGTGTATATGTGCCACATTTTTCCAATCCAGTCTATTATCAATGGGCATTTGGGTTGATTCCAGGTCTTTGCTATTGTAAACAGTGCTGCAATGAACATTCGTGTACATGTGTCCTTATAGTAGAACGATTTATAGTCTTTTGGATATATACCCAGTAATGGGATTGCTGGGTCAAATGGAATTTCTATTTCTAAGGCCTTGAGGAATCGCCACACCGTCTTCCACAATGGTTGAACTAATTTACACTCCCACATGGAATATTATGCAGCAATCAGAAATGATGAGTTTGTGTCGTTTGTAGGGACATGGATGAATCTGGAGAACGTCATCCTCAGCAAACTGACACAAGAACAGAAAATGAAACACCGCATATTCTCACTCATAGGTGGGTGATGAAAAATGAGAACACATGGACACAGAAAGGGGAGTACTAAACACTGGGGTCTATTGGGGGGAAAAGGGGAGGGCCAGTGGGAGGGAGAGGTGGGGAGGGATAGCCTGGAGAGAAATGCCAAATGTGGGTGAAGGGGAGAAGAAAAGAAAGCACACTGCCATGTGTGTTCCTACGCAACTGTCTTGCATGCTCTGCTCATGTACCCCAAAACCTATAATCCAATAAAAAATTAAAAAAAAAAAAAAAAGCTGAGTCATTGGAGCTGGGAAGAATACACAGAAACTGGCCTGTGAGGCCATCAGCTAGAATAGGGTGATGGGTTTAGTTGGAGGGTGGCTGGCTTGGCTTCCTTAACCTATATGCTGGTGGTTCTCCATTTGCACCCTCCATTTGCATAGATCCCTATTTATGCCCCAGAAATATTATACTCATGAGCTGTATCACCCAGATTCCCTTATCCTCTAGATTCCAGGGGGGCTCAGTCGATGGAAGGCACTAATGTTAGAAAAGAGGGTAAAACCAGTGATCAGAGACCTACTGTCTAGTTCCCTTCCTGCCTGCCACTTCCCTTTTGGCAGTGTCTTGGTCTTATGTCTCTACATATAATCCCTTCAAATGCCCTTTGACTATGCCACTTGTTCTTTTGTGAATATATCAGACCAGATCCAAACAGTTTCTAATATTTACCCAGAATTGTCTCTTGACAAGACTGCTTCCTCAGTAGGACACAATCTAAGTTGACAAGTCACAAAAATAATTCTAAAGGCGAAGGAGCTATAAACTCATGGCAACTGGGCTAGATACTCTTTCCTCTGATACTAAGATTTACAATAAAGGGGGACTTGTCTATTTTGCTTCTATGTCAAATCAAAGGGCTTTTATAGCTTGAATGTGTCCTAAGCAAAGCTGTAATATGAAAATGTTTTGTTCTACTCCAGAAATGGAGAGTTCTTGAATGGTAAAATTACCAGGACTCTACCAAGTGGATTTTTCTTTTGCCATGATTCCTGAGTACAGCTATTACTCCTCCTATATTGGTGAGAAAGCTGTTTCAGGGTTCATCTTTCCTTCTAATGCAATTTGAACCCCTTTGCTATTTCCCTGGCAAGTGGCTCCCTTCTAGGTTTGTGCAGAGATCATGTTGTAGGAGAATCTTAAAGGCACAAATCACAGATGAGACCAAGTGTGTACCTGGTGAATTGTGGACATGAGAGGAAGTGACTTCTCATGAAATCCAATAGACCTCTGGTGTCACAGACCTTGTTAGAGCCACATCAGATGTCCTCCTGGACTGACAAACTCTGGAGAAGGTCGAATTTATCGTCTCACTTTCCTTTCTCATACATGACAACATACAGGGCTGTTTTCTGATGGACACCTCCATTTCATCTCTTCCTATTCATTTCTGGTAGCATATCATGAAACTGAAGAGCATATCCTTGACTGCAGAGATGCACTTCAGCTGCTTACATGGAGAGGACCCACTCTTGGGATAAACTTTTGACCCCTGTCTTTTCCTCTAAGATCCCAACACTGAGACTAGCTCTCTAATTTATACCTCCTTTGTCAGCAGTTCTCATACCTTAAATACGGTAGTCTACTGCAGCTTCTGTGCAGGGATGGTGTGAGCATAATGTGTCCAAACATCCACCAAACCTGTCATGGCTTTTACCACTTCTCACCCTTTTTACTACCTTCCAATGAGACTGCATTTTTGTTTCCCAGCTGCAACATGTCCTTTTGCCTCTGAGAATAATTCATATTCTTTCCTGATACTGAAATGACATTCTTCCTTCCTTCCCTCACCTAGTGAATCCTTACATGTTCACCTCGCCATAGCTTAGATACACACTTCTTAGTGAACCTTGCCTTGATTCTGGGTTTGGCGCCCTATTTCTGTACTGCCTGAATAGTTCTCTGAATTGTCTTCTGATGTTTTCCCAAACAGAGTAAGTTCTAAAAGGGTGGTGATCTTGCCTGGCTTTTACTAGAAGTCATGTGCTAGCACAGTACATGGCTCTGCTGAATAAGAAATTATTACGCCTATTTAAAGAACATGGCCGTGTATTAAAAGGTCTTGTATTGACATTAGTGAACTAGAGGCTTCATGAGACTTCTTGTTTGTGGCTCTGTGTGGACTCCACCTTTTCTAAATTCCCCTTCCCAGAGAATCCCTGTCCTGAGTCTGGCCTTGGACTTATAGGAACATGAGCTAAGTTGGCTCCCCAAGTTCTGTACATCCTTATAAGCTGGGGACTATTCCCTATGACCCCTATTCTTTTTCTATATCATTCTTTGTAAGATCCTCTTACCTGGGCTGTGTCATGTCACTAAGAGCCTGGAGCTCTACAAATGCCTCAGACACCTTGCACTTATGAGCACTCTGCTTGGGTGTCTAGGGAATTCCATCTGGGATCTGAGCCTCCCCACTTTCCTCAATATAGAAAGCTAATAGCAGGCTTTGTCCCAGAAGGATGAGCACAAAATCTAAACTTAAGCACAGCATGCCAAAGTTGGTCCAGAGGGAAGGAACAGACCCGTTAACTGAGTCCTAATCCCTTGTGTCCAAGTCCTCTTGTTTCTTGCATCTGGTCTTCCTGGTATCTGAAGCTATTCTAAGGTCACCAAGTAGAAATCAAAGATGTTCCTGGGGTAGGGATGAGTCCTCTAGGGCTTGGATGGAAATTGGAGTTCAGCCCACTTGTCTAAAGTCTAATCTCTTTACAGTACTAGGAGGTGATTGCAGGGTCCTAAATTTTAAGACAACAACTCTTTAAAATTAGATACTGAACACATTTTCCCCCACTCCAGTTTATATTGCAGAAAGGACCCTAAACTTGTAGGTGAAATGATAGATCTTTATCTTTTTGAATCCAACCCTCTCTAACATCACTTTTCTCAAAGTGAAAAACTGAAGCAGTTTTTTTCTTCAAGTGTTCTAATAGGATGTTCATGTGTTGGAGCATCGCACTTGAGGATGTGTGACAAGGCATGGCCTCTGAAGCTTCAAAGGCTTGAGTTAGCATAGCCAGCTTGGTTACATGGTCACTGTGACTTGAAGCAAGTTACATCATTGCCAGTTCTTCAAGCATAAATTGAATAATCTCTTTGGGTAGAAGTTATAACTTGGATACTGTATATAAAGAGCCTAGTAAGACAAACATGACAAATGCTTAACCAG